CAAGAGAGGAGTCTTCTTATGTTCCCAAACTTGTCCCATCTCCAGGTCAGATATAAAGTTTGGTTTTGTACTGAAGAGTTTGGAGCCAGGGGAGCTGACTTAGGCCAAGACTGAGTGTGGATGTTTTTCCTCTGGCTCTGAAATATCAGACCCATTGGGTAGGCACGCAACAGATCCGGTTTCTATAATTGCACCCACACCAGTGTGGTTTATATGTCTTCACACACAAACCCACAAATGTTGTCTGGATGTCAGGGGGCTAGTGTATGGGAATTGAGAGTGGATAAAGACCAATATCTCTACAACAAGATCCCCACAGAGGTCAAATCCATTTTCTCCATAAGAATGTGGTTCCAAATTCCACTGGTTACTGGATCCATCAGGCCATCAACAGGGGCTCAGAACTTAGAGGCATGTCTTCCTTCACTACCTTTGGTAGAGGTTACAGCAACCACTGAGACGAGTGCCTCTTACTCCTAAATTTCAGAGGGAGAAGCTACTATGAAGTGTGCCTTGACTTTGAAGTTTGAGGAGAGATAGTCAAAAGTGGTGAGTTTCCATCAGGTCAGGGGATCCTATCATAAGGTTCAGGTCAGAAGTCAACACTTTTATCCAAGACAGTAGCTTACTGACTCTTAAGGGATGGAACTCTGGTCTGTCTTGCTGCTCTCAATATGCCAACTATAGCTTTACCTCTTTTTACCTTAAATTGTCTGCTTGCTTTCCTCTATCATTTCCTTCAAGGATTTGCCAAATGTCCCCTTATCAGAGAGGCTTTCCTGGACCTCACTACATAAAAGGGCAAACATGCCCTTTGTCCAGTTCCCCCACCACTCAGAACACTCACTTCTCTAACTTTACTTTGTTTAATATTCCTTCATAACACTTATCATACTTGTTATGCTTATTTGTTCATTTTATTTTGTTTTTATAATAAATGGTGTCTTATTTTTTAAATTAAAAAAATTTTTTGAAGGAGAGAGAGGGAGAGAGAGAGAGAGCAAGTCATGTGTGCATGTGGGAAGGGGAGCAGGAGGGGAAGGGCAGAGGGAGAGAATCTTTTTTTTTTTTTTTACATTTATTTATGATAGTCACACAGAGAGAGAGAGAGAGAGAGGCAGAGACACAGGCAGAGCGAGAAGCAGGCTCCATGCACCGGGAGCCCGATGTGGGATTCGATCCAGGGTCTCCTGGATCGCGCCCTGGGCCAAAGGCAGGCGCCAAACCGCTGCGCCACCCAGGGATCCCAGAGGGAGAGAATCTTAAGCAGCCTCTATGTCCAGTGCAGAGCCCGACACCCCTGAGATCATGACCCAAGCCAAAGGTTTAATCAACTGGGCCACCCAAGTGCCCCTATTTGTTCATTTTAATGTTCAAAATGGAACATAAGTGCTATGAGGGCAGGTGCTTTATTATTATATTTATTGTATATTTCCAAACCCTATAATAACTGTAAACAGCATTGTAGTAGGTGTCCAATAAATGTTTTTGAATGAATTTATAGGTGACCCAATGACCCAGTTGGGGGAGGTTGACCAAATGTGGGTCATGTATCTTACAGATTTTATAAAAATTTTGTAATGGTTTTATGAATGTTTAGGAAACATTTCCACGAGTATTTCTTAAAAGAAGGCAGAAAAAAAAAACATGAAGGATTTTAACTTGAGAAAATATTTTCTAGTGACGTCATCTAGTTTTGTGCCAAAAAATATTTAAAATTCAGTGAAGCCACAGATCTTTACTACCTTACTCTGTCTCACAGAGACCATAAGTTCAATAGGGAGAGTTTGTGAGCACATGAGAAAATGATTTCTGCTACTCCTTTTTATCAAAGTATCATGTATCTAATGTAAGGGCATCTTTAGTTTCTGTCTTAAATTCCAACTTTTTCTGCATGGCTCAATTAGCAAGTGCATTTACACAGGTTGTAAAGATATATTTTTGTTGTGTTATTCCTGCTAGGTAAAAAAGCAAACTGCTGCCCTAATGCCTAATTTCTGTCCTTCCTGGGACCGGCTCAGGGAATCTATGCATCAGAAGTAGGGATGTTTGAGACAATAAGTAGGTGACCTGTTAGTATTGGCTTGTGGTCCCAACTTCATTTTGAATTACAGCCCAGACTTCCATCCTGTCTATGGAAGCATTAGGGAGTCACCCTTTCTAGAGGACACTCTTGCGTACCTTGTAATATTAATTTTTTTCCTGAATTTATCCCTATATTTAATCAAGAGAAATGCATATTTTAATCTTGTGTAGGAGGAACAGAGGCTCTTCATCCATTCTCTTGGATTGAGAAAGAAAAAAAAAAAAAGCAGCCCTTGACATCCAAGAGCTTGTCTGACACTCACAGCTAGGCACCGTTTTTCCCCTTTATACATAAGCAATTTCATAGAACATCCATATCAAACAAGATCACTCTAAGATCATGTCAAAGCAAGATAAGAACAAGATCTCTGAGCAAACACAAAATACTCAGTATCTTTCTTTCTTGTCTAAAATGAGGACCTGCTACTTTTCCAGAAAACAATTATAGCTTTATGGCCACTTTAGTCATCCCTACCAATAGATGAGATTTACGGCAAAAATCATAGGATTGCCCCTGCTTCTTGACAGCATCCAATCCAGAACAAAGCCTTACTTTCTTAGACTATCCCCAAAATTTTCCACCCAAAGCCCAAATTCTCTAGTAGTTTAACACCTCTTTACTGAGATTGAGTTTCTTGCAGTGTTTGTTTTACCCTAGCTGCAATGGGTAATCCAACTTGTCCAACTATAGGTGTGTTCCTGGTGGTCTATTGGCTAGAGAGTCCTAGTACCATCATCTGTTATACCCAAGGATATTCTCTCCTCCCCATCTCATTAGATACTCTTCTTTATCCAGCACCAGAGATCTATTAGGCATAAAGGTCACTCCAACAGTACTGACACGAGTCAGCTGTTTGCCTTTCTATGGTTTAATATGTTTCCTAGGAGGATTGAGATTTAAGTCTGCTCTAGGTTTTGACTATTTGTTACCGATGGACAAGCTCCCAGTGAGTGCTACATGTCTTGTGAATAAATGTCAAGAGCCTCAACTGAGGCTTATTATTGTTTCTTTGGTAACAGCTTGGCCTCAAGGCTGCTCTGACAGGAGAAACTCTATGTTAAAAAATAAAAAGTTGGAGTTGCATTTTCACTCTTTACCTAGATAGAGGCTGAGGGAAGACTTTATGACCTCTTTCAGGTACTTGGCTCTTATTTCATAGATAACAAGACGAGGCATAGATATAGCCTGTTAGATATATATACTTGGGCCTTGGATTACAAGTTGTGTTGACAAAGTGGGGGGATGTCTCCTGTGTCTGCAAGGCCTCTTCTGGACTGCATGATTTCATTGCTTTTATGTTGTACATTTGATCATTTTGCCCTCCTGGCTCCCACCCTGTCTCCCCTCCCATCCTCCCACTTGTACTATCTCAGACCCCAAATTATACTAAATAATTTTGGCAACCCGTGAAAGTGAATTTTATGTCAAAATTTAGGCAAAGAAATTTTTAGTACCTACATTACATATTTCTTAATTATGTATATTTGAGTTCCCGTACAGTTCAAATGAACAGAAGGAACATTTTAATGGCCCTCATGTATATTCATTTGTATTAATATATCCTTGGCTCCTGGTACTGTCATCACTGGTCAATACATGGTTTATTTTTAATTTACTCATTTGTTTATCTTATTTTTTCCTAAAATGGAGAATACCTATAAAACTTACCATCCAACATGAGGATAGAACATTGACAATAACTTAATCTACACAACGTTTCCTCACAAAGAAATGGTCCTTCTTTATAGCATTCAAATGTACAAGAATCTAAATGCATAAGTAGCATTTCTACAGCTCTCTTGAATTAGGTGTGGAGTGTGTGTGTGTGTGTGTGTGTCTGTGCGCGTAATTAGAAGATGTCTGAAAAGTAGAGGATCACCCACCATTCCTTCTCTACCACACTTAGAAAATTGACTTCAAATATGAGAACCAAAGAAAGAAATCCTTTTCAAAATGGAAGCTGATCAGGGGTCTAAAAGCTTTGAAGAAATAAAGAACATAGATGTGATGTGATGTAGTCTTGAAAGAAGGGATAGCATGTGTTACTTTTGTCAGCAAAATAGTCAACACCTAAGGCCATATCTGGTTTCCTATTGGCTTACTAGGCATATACAATAGGTGAGGTTATAAGGTGGGGACACTAACTTAGGGACTAAATGTATCAGACTGACCTGTAAGGCCAGTATGTAAGGCCAATATTCCTTAGGAAGCTCCATCTGGCCTTGGGAATTAGACAATAGAAGAAAGCAAACTAACGGAGAAGGAAGAGCCACCAAGAGACTAGGAATAGCAAGACTCGAGAAATTTGGGAGCCTGAAGATCTGCTAGATAGCTGACTGCTTCTCCAAAATATGGTCAGGGAGGAAGAGGGAGAAATAGCAGAAAAACAGGTTATGACATTCAGGTAGAGTGACAAAGAACAAAACAAGGAGACTGATAAATGGACAGAAATCCTGACACTATCTGATCTCATATAAGACTAAAACTTTCTAAAATGATCAAATGAGTAAGAATGCAGACAAACTTACAGCCCCGTTATGATCTTGAAATGCTTCCTGGAATAGGGACAAATGTCATACTCCTTCTTGGGAAACAACACTGGTTGGCCATCTTTACACAACACTTGTTGAGTGTTCCTTCACTCAACAAATATAGAAAATCTGCTAGAGAGTAAGCTTAATCTCAGATACATGGTGAGATCAGGGGCAGGCTTTGCTTTTTGTGGCACGCCTACGGAAACAAGAGAAGGTGAAGTGTGAAAGCTGGAAGATATTTAGTGTGGCCAGAACCAGAGAGTCATGGGGAGATACTGTGAACTTGGATGCATCAGGTGGATCCAAATATCGAAGGGCCTCATCAACCATTTTAAGGATTTTGGTTGGAGCATAACTTAAGTCAATATGAAGTCGCTGAAGAATTTTTATTTGAGTTTATTAAAAATTTTTCAAAGTAATACATGCACAAGGTAAAAAATTAAATAGTACAGAAGGACTTGAAATGAAAAACACAGTTTCCCACCCCATCCCTTTTAACCCTAGACCCCTTCCCTAGAGGCAATGCATTTAACAATTTCTATTTTTAGATCTTCTGTTAACTAACTTGCTAACATTAAATAATACGTCTGAACAATAATTCTTGACTTATTAACTTTAGACAATCTTTAATAATTCCCCATTACAAAAGATAAGGATTTAACTTACTCTATCCCCACCTTTCCTTTGCCTATCCCTTGCCAGATTTTTGATAGATATGTCATTTTTAAGACTTCTATTGATGGAATTTATAATTTTGGACTGTATAGTATCCTCAAGCTCTGGTTCCATTAACTGCAGACTTTATCTTCTCATTCCCACTGTGAATATATAAGTAGCCCCACTCTTCCTTCCACCTCTCTTCCCCAACCAATTCTCAACCTCTTTCTGCTCTCTGGTTTATTAACTTGTCAGGATCAATTATATTCAATTTCAGTTCTGAATAAAAAATTAAGCCTTTCATGTTTTGTGTCTAGGCTGATCGGAACACTGAATACCAACACACAGCATCTGCATTAGTTTGGCTAAAAAACTGCTTACTGAGAGCTGAATAGAAGCTAAGACTTTTTCTTCCATACATATCCAGTGTTCATGATGCCTGTGGCACTTATAAGGAGAAGTACCTACCGCCAATATCAAATTGAGTTTCTTCTTATGTTCCCTGAATTTTTGTTGTTTCATAAATGGACCTGAGTGTCTTGGCATATTCCTGTTTTCTTTTTTCTGACTAAAGAATGTATGTCCTCCATATTTTCAAACATTCCAGTTTCTCAATGATATTAACAGAATGTATATTCTTCACAAAGAGCCTGAGACTTTGTACTCTTGTCTGAAATGGGTCTGCTAGAGTGAGACATCCTGGGTGGGATCCATTGTTTTCTGGATTTTATTCTTTCCTCTTTCCTGGTTTTCTTCCTCATTGTGCTGGAGAACCTCCCCCAGGTACTTTCTCAGAAAGAGTACAAAGTAGGTAGACTTTCTGGAAACTTGCATGTCAGCGAATGTCTACTTTGACAGTTTGGCTTGCTATGTTGTTCTGGGTACAGAAATTTTCCATAAGTGAAAAAAGTGTTCCACTGGCTTCTAGCACTTACGTGTTGTTAATGAAAAATCTGCTGCCAGTCTATTTCTTATCCCCTTTTCAGTTGAGCTATTTATGATAGTTTAACTTTATTCTCTTTTTGGGAAATTTTAATATCTTCCTTCTATCCTTAATATTCCAAAATTTCACAAGATTGTGTCTAGCTGTAGGTTGTATGGGGGCCCTTCAAACTGGAGACTTGGTTCTTTCAGTTTATTTATTTATTTAATTTATTTCTTCACCTATGCTTTGTATGTTCTTTTTTTCCAGAAAGTCCTAATGCTTAGATATTGATTGTCTAGGTCTTTCCTTGTTTTATTTATTTATTTATTTATTTGCTATTTCTTTTTGTTCTATATCTTAGGAGTTTCTATTTTCCAGCCTGTTTACTGAATATTTGGGGCAGTTTTATTTCACTTTCAAGGGCTCTTTTTATTCTCAGTTTTTCCTTTCTTTGTAGCATTCTGTATTCATTTTACAAATACACCTCAAATCTCTCTGAAGATACAGATTTTTTTTAAGATTGTTTTTGTTTTTTTAGATTTTATTTATTTATTCATGAGAGACACAGAGAGAGAAAGGCAGAGGTACAGGCAGAGGGAGAAGCAGGCTCCATGCAGAGAGCCCGATATGGGACTTGATTCCGGGTCTCCAGGCTCACGCCCAGGGCTGAAGGCGGTGCTAATCCGCTGAGCCACCGGGGCTGCCCTGAAGATATAGATTTTTAAAGTTATTCTTTCCATGTTCACTTTGTTTCCTCTAGAGTTTGTTGTATTTTTTGAGTCTTCTAATTCTAACTGGTTATTTTTTTTTTAAGATTTTATTTACTTATTTAAGAGAGACAGAGAGCACAAGCAGGAGGAGTGGCAGAGGGAAAGGGAGAAGCAGACTCCCTGCTGAGCAAGGAGACTGAGATGGGGCTCAATCCCAGGACCCTGGGACTATGACCTGAGCTGAAGGCAGATGCTTAACTGAGCAGCCCAGGTGTCCCCTAACTGGTTGTTTTTCCTACATGCTCCTCCCCTGGTCTTCCCCCTCCACCGCTCCCCACCCCATGCCCAAAGACTGAGGATTCCTAGCTGTTTGCATTTAAGAATCAATATAACTGTTAACTTTTATAGGAGTTGGCATGGGTGGCCTCTGCCAGTGTATGGTTGGATCTGTTTCTCCAATAAGCCTCTTCTGGGACTAGAAGCACTTAGGTACTTGAGGAGGGGTTTCAACAGTCAGAGAATTAGCTGATAGGCTAGAGGTCACTTATTTCCACAAAAGAGAAGTTTTATTCTGGGGCACCAACTCCTACCTCTCCTCAGGCAGTTTATTCAATTTCTATACAAACAACCAACAAGAACAACAGATTTTTAATGGATACCAATTATACACTGCCTGTGTTCTATGCACAGTGGTTGGGGCAGAAAAGGATGGGGTTCAATTTTACAACTGCTCTAACTCTTTATAGACTTTTCAGGTGCTCATGTTTCTTTGGGATTATGTTGTTCAGATCAGCTTCTACTCTGTCTGAAAGATACCTTCACTCTTTCATTCATTATCATGCTTCATCCATTTTCTCTCTTCCAGAAATGTGTTGAGATCTTCTTCAGTTGTAATTAAATCTGTTCAGTTTTCTTTGCTGAGATGTGCCAGTTCTCTTTTGCATTTCTTGACTTCAGTTCAGTGGGGCCTGGGGAGGGAGGGGAGGTAAACTTATATGCTCAGTTCATCATCTTAAATTCAAAGTCCCACTGGAAGCTTTCAGACAGGGGAGTGACATGAATAGCTTCATATTTTTAAAAGGTTCCCAGGGGCCATAATGCTAAAAATGAACTAAAGAGGGCCAGAAGGGATATGAATATTATTCTAGAGGACTAAAAATCTGATTTCCTTGCAGAGAACATGCAATGTCTGGGACTCTTGGGAGTCAGGCACCTTACCAAAATAACCCATCATTCAAAACCCAGTAAAATACTAGGATGCTTTCATGTTGCCCTAGAGATAATGCATGAAACTTGAATAAACTGAAATCTAAAAGACCTGGATGACGCTAAAGGGGTCAGTGTCTTTGGGAAGTACCTCAGGAGCTCTCAAGTTCCTCCTTTGAACTGACATTTGGGATACACAAAGGGACTTTCTGTTCTGATAAAATTGGATGAGGGTGAGTATAAGCAGCCAAAGAACTGGCAGGTAGGGACACAGAGGTCCTTCTGTTTGCTGGCTGGTTTCTTCATTTACTCATTTACTTGCTTATTCAAAGCGCTAGAGTTACTAGCACCCATTCTGTATTCAGAGTGCCCGGGTTTGAATCCCAGGTCTACCACTAATTAGAGGTGTAGACTTAGGCAATTTACTTGATCTCCATAAAATTCAGTTCACTTAGTCCTAAAACGGAAATGATAAATTTCCATCTCATAAGATTACTGTGAAGATTAAATTGTTTAATTTAATTTTAATGATCTATATAAAAAAACAAGTACAATATTTGGCACATAGTCAAAAACCCGCTAGCTGATAGAATTTTTTCAAATGTTAAATGAATGTTCGACATCTATGTTTAAAGCGCCTAGACGATAGATATTCACGAAATAAGGGAAAATAATTCTAGGGTTAAGAAATGACATAATAAAGAAGTCCAGAGAAAAACACTCTCTAGGTCAAATTTTATTGTCTATGTATCCACCCAATTCTTAATAAAGCAAATAATATAGTGTATTAAAACAACTAAATAAATAGAAGTGATCTGAAGGAAAACTGGCTGGATGTATACATTAATCCCAGAGCCTCAACTCTAGTTAAAAGTACATAGAAATGGGAGGTTTTGATTAAGATTAGAAGAAAACTTAAGAAAATCTTTGCATTGTTATTAAATAAAATTTGGGCCAGTTGTATCCAGTTATCTGGCTCGAAAGTCAAGATTTCTCTATGTGTGTGGATTTTATCTGCCAACCAGTAAAGAACCCTGGACAGTGATAGGAATCTGTGTCACTGCAGAAACATACACATCATCACTAAGTCGGATGTCCATTGTTTGCTAAAAACAAATGCCTTTATGCATTTGTTCTGATTTTTCAAGTGACTCCCATTCTTGATTTAATCAAAGAAGGAATTTCACCTTTAAGATGGAATTGAATAAAGAGATAAAACCCCAAGAAGCTATGAAGACCACCCTGTAAATTTAGAGCCTATGGGTCCTGTAGATCCTGTAGCTCATAAAGCAACACCCCAAGGTGTTTTGAGAGGCTGGCGTATAAAATTTAGGATGGGATTGGATGGATCACACCGCAGCAATAGATGCCATCTAAAAGGGTAGTCTAGCTCTAAAATGATTAATTATTGTTAATTAGACAGTATTAATGGCAGCTGGCATTTTCCCAATACCTACCAACCGCCAGATGCTGTTTAATTCCTTTTAGAAGGACTGAAATTTAATCTTCACAATAATTCAATGAAATAGGTCCCATTTGATAAGGAGTTATCCCAGAGTCATTTGACTAATAGGTGAAAGAACCAGGCTTTGGATACAAGGAGTCTACTGTGAGAGATGATGGTCTTAACCACGAGGCCATGGTGAGAAAAGGGGAGTACTAAGCTTACTACTCTGTGGACCAGCAGAACATAGAGGAATCCCTTGATACATAAGCACTGCATTCACAGACCTCTTCAGGACTATCGGTCTGGGTCTTCCTGACAACCCTGTGAGGTAGGGATTTTTGTCCTCATCTCACAAACAAAGAAATGTTGAGTAGTGATACAATGACCTTCCCGAGAGCTAACACTACCTACAGGCTCTTTCTACTATATCAGATTGCTTTTTAAGATCTTTGAAAACTACCCAAGCCACAGAATATCAAGGAACTATCTCGTTATCCTGGTAAATTTGTGTTTCAGTGGATTCTATGGGCAGGTTTCTGGAATAGCTGATCAAAAATAAAAGCCCAGAGAGTTCTCAGGATATCAGGATGGGAACCACCCCCAAGGGCCACGGCCCATCATGGTAAACTAAGGGCTGGCACAGAAGCAGGTGCCAAAGTTCTCAGAACCAGGCCAACAGAGGGCCAGGAGGGAATCCGGGAGCAGAGGAACGAGGCTCATAAACAGAAGGCATTGTTCCTAAGGATTTCTGATTCCCCTTTTTGCTGTGTTCTTAACCCACTTTCTAGAGATGGAACTAGGTAGGAAGATATGTGGGCAATGAGCCAAGAGGGCAAGGCTAGAACCCTAAGAGACAGAGGTCGAGGAGTGAATCCCCATCTCTGCCTACCTCCCCAAACCTCTCTACCTGCCACCTCGCTGGGCACTCCTTACATCTGTGTGAGGAGGTATAATTTCATAATATTTTCCTTCCATTCAGGCAGATAGGCCAGGCTGGTAGCCACTTCCTTCTGGATAGGCCAGGCCCAGGCCTCAAAGAACGGAGCCAGGTTCTTCTGCACTTGGTGGGAGAACATCTTCACCCACAGATTCATTTTGTCAACATTGTCTGTGGGCAAGTTGGTCTGGTTCCTGTACTCCGTGAAGAGACGGATGAACGGCTCCCAACCAAAAGCCTCCTGTAGCTGGGGACAGAAAGCAGCAGCAGGAGACGTTTAATTCACCGAAAGAAGACCCAACAAACACTATAACAAATTAATGTAATGTATTTAGCCCCTAAAATACCAGTTTCATTGCTGTCACTGGCCCCCTCTCCTGTTCTAGGTGCTGGCCTGACGGGTTACTCTCTTAAGAAGGGCCTCTGGGCAGTGCAGCGCTCACACAGAGCAGATCCTCAATCAAGGATGGCTGTGCTAGTAACTGCAAGGATTAGTAGCAGTATTTACGACCTAGGTCATTGTTCCTGTAGCTCACTGGATTGTGAAAGTGTCGACAGGGTATCTCACAAGGATTTAAAACCGGCCGACGTGAAAAAAAAAAATCCTTGCATCTTTCACAGCTGCAAAGTGAAACCCCAATAACCGGGGAGCCCCCCTCCCCTTACCCTGATATGACCTGCATCAGTCGCAGGCCTGCACCAATCTGCAAGGCTGCTAACATAGCCTTTCAGAAAAAAAGTGAGTCCAGTATAAACAGGAGACTCTCTATAGTCCAGGCGGCTAGAATTAAGGTAAGTAAGGCATCATTTCAGGAAAAGGCAGCTGTCCCCGAGGCCACTGGAAATAGCCCGTGTGAGGCTGGGTTATGGCGCCTCACCGTTAGGACCGTTAGGACAGACGTCAGCAGTTCTCTGAAACAACCTCAGCTGCATTTCACAGGTGAGCGACTTCTGTCCCTGGGGTAAAATGGCCCCAGTGACAAAGTTCGAGTCTCCGGGCAGTTTCACTATCGTTCTCGGGACAGAGGGTACAAACAGAGAGGGACTGGGGCAGGTGGAACAACCTGGCTGGAGACTGAGTTCCAGAAACCCAGGTGGTGGGACTCTGCACCGTGACCTGGGAGCTGCTCCAGGGCCTGGGGGCCGGGAACGGGGCTGGTGGACAATCGTTCAAAGGCAGGGGCAACCTCATGTGCAGGCCAGTGAACGACCTTGGATTAACTGAGGCAGTGAGAAGACCTGCCTCATAGCTTCCGTCCCGAATCCTGTGCGTGCCCGGGAGGGGGAGGTCCTGGGGGTAGGATCGGGCAGGGTGTTTGGTGTTAGATCGCTTTCCAATCAGGACATGGTTTGGCTCCAGTCTCAGGTATGTGTGGGGTCAAAGCTAGCCATGGTAACCGTATTTATAGTACCGTCTTCACCTCTTAGTGCTTTCTATCTCCTCTCATGAATCTCCTCAAAATCATGGTGTGAGGGTGCAGCTGAGGCACTTAAGTCCACCCTGGGGTCACTAGAATGTCCCCTAATGAGGCCATGCCAGGTGGTCCCCGCAGTGGGGTTTCCCACCCCCCTCCATTCTGGCCCAGTACCTGTAGATACGTTTCCAGGGCAGTCCACGCATTCCAGTTTTTCACATTGGGACCCTTGCCCAGGTAGATTCGGACTCTCTTCTCCCGAACTGGAGGCCACAGAGCAATATTGGCACGGCCTCGAGGGATGCCCAGGACCGTCTCATGCACGTAGACACACCACAGATTGCAGGTGGCCTCGGTGGTGTGTGGCGGGAACTCCCACTCCTGCCGCTGCTGGTTCCGGCCGAGCTCATGGACAGGGCCCCACAGCCCCTTGGTTCTGATGAGCTTCTCATTGATGAGCTCCTGCACGGATTCCAGATGGCACATGATGGGGTACCCTGCGTGCATCCAGCCTGGGAACGCAGGAGGGAGGAAGAGGGGTGAGAACGCTCCCCACCCGTCCTTACCAGGACTTCCAGAAGCCCCTAATGCTCAGAAGGGCAATCCACGCAAAGACCCCCCAGGGCTCTCCCCCAGCCTCTCTTTCTGTTATCGTGCCTCCACCCTCACTCCGACCCGAGAGCACGCGGCTTCAGGACGGATGTGCGTCACCCACAGCCCTCCACGTACTCCTCAGCTTTTCCATTTTCGTGAGTGTCCTGGCGTGTGAACCTGTCTCATGATACTCTTTTCTCAAAACTGAGAACTCCTTGATGGTGGCTTCCCCTTCTCGTTATTTAGCTACGGAGTTTCCTGCATTGATGCTCTTTCTAGGGAGCATCTCCATAAGGCAACAAAACCGGGGTGGAAAGGAATTTCCATTGTTTTCTCGTTTCCACACACCCCTGATGTGTTATGCTTCTCGACCCCACTGGCAGAGATCTCTTCATAAGGCCTCTTCTCAAAGTCATTAGATTCCTTCTCCCAACAGCTGTAACCCCGGTGGAGGCCCCCCCAACCACTTTTATCTTCTCCTCGAAGTCCCCGATGGGGCTGCGGCGAAAGCCTACACTTCGTTCTTGCACTATTTCCACCGCTGGAAGATCTCTCTTGACATCCTGACCTAAACTGTTCATATTTTAACATACTGCTCACGCCCATCTCCACGGCCTGCTTTTCTTGTGTCACATAATCCCATCAAACGTTCCTCATGCCATCAAAATATCACTTTAAATGTGTCCCTCAGTGTCTGTCGGAAGGTATGCACGTCATATTACCTCCCCACTCTGTCCTGCTGGACATTTAAGATTTAGGGAGTTTCCAATTTTCTGTTGGGGAATACAGTTGAGGGTTTGTTTTTTTTTTTTATGCATCCCCCCGCTTCCATTTAGATAGCAAGGTTTGCATCTTCTATATCTTGCTAGAGCACGTTTACCACGCTGGCTGCCCGCTGCATGAGAAACAGGAAGGCCGCCAGGCGCAGCATGCACAGAGGGCTGGCTCCCCCAGAGTACCCACCAACTGAGATCTGGACGTCAGCAACGATCCTCTGAGGCAGACGCAAAGGGAAGGGCTCGGCCCCCAGCCGTGCCACAGCCTGCATCACCTCATCCCAGAGGCGAAGCAGCGGCTCAGGGTTCTCCAGGGTACGGAGATTGGCGGTTGGCACTGTCAGGATGATGTTGTCCGTAGCCAGCTCTCCCCAGGGACCTGGATTCTCCTGGATACGCCTCTTCCACTCTTCCTGGGAGGTCTCCCCTGGGAAGAGAGGTCATGGGGCTCGAAACTCACTTTCCTAAATCCCTTATGTTAAAACGTACAATTTGAACTCCAGGAGGAGAGCACCAAGGTCACGAGTGACCATATCCCCGTTTTTGTCCTCTTTCTACGAAGGCCCCATGAATGTGGTTTGGTCTTAATCCGCTCGGCCCCAAAGCTGGATCTAAGGAAACCTAGCTCCCTCCCCTCTACCAACCTGGACTTTCTCTCTTCCTACACCAAACAGCCCCAGATGATCTCCTGCCCTGGCTCTCCCACTCCCCTGGGGTTCACCCCGCAGCTCCACTCACCCAGCTTGTAGTACGGGGCGTGCACGGCCCCCTTGACAGTGATGGGCACAGAGCCGAGTTTGCTGCTCTGAGGCACAATGATATACAGCAGGCCGCCCCAGAGGCAGGTGATGGACTTGGTGGGCTTGTCCAGGCAGCACCGGTTAATCACAAGCGGGCCTCGGAACAGCTTGCTGGCTCTGGTCAGGTCATCAGTGTGGCAGCCAATCTGTATCTGGAGCGGAGAGACCCCCCTCAGAGTCACCCTGGGTTGTGTGCAAGTGGAAAGCAGGAGGCTCCCAGGAGGTGAGGGCAGGAAGGGTCTCTGGGTCACAACCCCATGCAAGCCTACGCAACTCCATCATTCCTCAGGGCTGTGAGGACTGAATTGTATAAATGACCTCCCAGGGGAGTCAGCTCCACATAGGGTCATGTTGAGATGCTGGAGCGAGGTACACCTGGTATAGCCCCCAGGCTAATGCTGAGGAGGGCGGCCCCCCACCCTGGGTGTCTCTATAACCCACCGAATCCTGGGTTGCCTGTTTCATTGTGGTGACTCTGGCCTTGGGAATGGGGCAGAGGGGACCTCGCTGACTCCCAGTGGGAGGCAGTGTGATTGGCTGATAAACTGGAGGGTGGACTCAGCTCCTCCCCTTCTCTAACGACCCCCTCCCGGGCCATGCGGCAGCTCCCTCACTGGGTGGAGTCCTGGGATTCTCCTCCCAGGTTTATGCAAAACATGTTCCAGGACAGGTGCAGGCACAGCACAGATCCTATCAGTCAAAAGACTCTCACGGGGGACAAAGCAGGATGGCTCTTTAATTTTCTATCAGTGTGTGTGTGTGTGTGTGTGTGTGTGTGTGTGTGTGTAAGCGACAGACTGAAGGTGGACCGGGGAAGCAGGGAACAGTCTTCAGTGTCCCAGGGAAGATGCAGGAAAACCTTGTGCTCCATCCACTAGGAGATCGCCTTCCCCAGGGCACCGAAAGGGGACTGAGGTTGTCTGAACACTCCTGCGTGCCAGGGTGCCCTCCATCTGCTGCTTTTTGTTTTTTTCAGCTTTTTAAATTTTTTATGGAATTATCTTCTTTAAAAAAAAGTTTTATTGCTATTTTTTTAAAGGAGTTTCCATGCCCATGATGGGGCTTGAACTCCCAACCCTGAGAGTAAGAGTCACATGCTCTATTGACTGAGCCAGCCATGTGTCCCTGTTTGGTGCTGTCCTTGTTCCCCACTCTAGGACGTAAGTGAAAAGCACAAAACTTAAGAGCCAGACGTCGGTTAGGATGGAGTCCTGGGCTCTGAAATGTGTCAGATCTATTGGTGGATTGATTGGAGTATCGTTGACACACAACGTGCAGCTCATTTGCCTCATCCTTAAAATGGGGTAAGAGTACATGCCACGTTGCCAACAGGGTTTTTGTGAGATCACCCAAGGCGGCCACCGTGAAAGCCAGGATATCTGGGTTCTGCGTGATGTGGCCACAGGGCACGGCCTTACCTTCAGATCAGCAGAGGCAGCAGCTTCAGGCAGCGAGACCTCTATGATCTGCCTTCCAGGAATGTAGAGCCCAGTGCTCATCCAGCAGTATCTGGTGCCTGCCAAAGCACAGGAATGGTCCCTTGATCCCTCCCCCGTGACACCATCTCCCCCCAGAGTGTACACCGCCCCTTCGGGAGCTCCGCACGGCTCTCTCCCTTCATGTCCGCCCCGACTCAACTCTTGCAAATGTCACCTGACACTCCCACCCCCATCTCCTTGACAGCGCCCGGCCACGGGTGGAGATGGCCCCACTTCCACACCCCCCACTCTGAGCGCTCACCCCCCCCCCAATTCCATACCAGGATTGTTGCAGTTGACCTCAACGGTGATGGGAGACTCGGAGGGACGCAGATAGGGGCTGCTGTACATGTCTTCGATTTCCGGCACTAACAGCGAGAGGTCACTTCCAGAGTGGGCCAGGCCAGTGGCCAGGGAAAGCATAGCACCCCTGCAGCAGTCGTTGATGACGGGGTTCTCTCGGGTTGCCACCGGGAGCCGATACCGACTCAGCAGCTTCCTCAGGAGCCGGTGCACAGACATGTAGGCAGGGATCTCTTCGGCGGGGATCTGGAGGAAAGCTGCCCCATCCGGCCCCAGCTTGGCCAGCCAGCCTTTCTCCACATTCCCTCTTTTCCTGCCCATTATGATCTGGAACTCGGCCAGGGTGGAACGGAAGTGGTAGGTCCTTATCCCTGCCTTAGGAGTGCGGAAGGGCCCTGGGTTGAGGCTTTGGCTGGTGATGCTGATGCCAAAGGGGTTGAGGAGGAGGTTTCCTGGGAAGCGGGCCAGAGGGGACACTCCGGGGTTCTTGAAGGCCCACCACCACGCTTGGGCTCCGACGAACAGCCCCCCGCCCTCAGCTACAAACTCCTGCAGCTCCTTGACCCCCACATCACTCACGGGTTCAAAGCAATAGACACTCGCATCGCTGGTCAGGTGGGGCTCGATGCTGGTGTCTATGCCCCCCACCGCGAGCAGGCCGCTCAGTGTCCTCAGTTCCGTCTGCACCACGATCTTGCCTCTGCGGCCCCCGTCCAGCCAGCGCACGGCATTGAGCAGAAAGGGGCCCAGTTTGCCCACCGTGAATAACACCTTGTGGCCAGTCACGACCACGCGGCCCCGGCCGTAGCGGGCAGCCGCTATGACACAGCCGTGGTAGGAATCTAACCCCAGGGGAAAGGCGAGAGCCCCGTGCACCAGCAGCTGGGACGGGAAGCAATCCGAGTTGCTGATGTCCAGCTCTGAAATCCCGTGCAGGAGCTCCTCTCTGTCCTCGGACAGATCGTCTTCACAGCTGCAAAAGACACAGGCGTTGTCTATTAAAGGAGTGGCCACACGAAGCTCTGCGATATTTTTATTGCTCCTGTGATCGCTTCTAGCCCTCGCAGGACTGCTGGGAGGATTAAGTGGGTGTCTCTGACCTGACTGGGTGTGGAGGATGGTCTGAGGGAAGACACAGGGACATCAATTCTGGTCTGCCCCCTCTTGCAATGCAAAGTCTCCAAAGGAAATCCCAGGGCAAGCCGTGCCATGCTTACCCAATATCATAGCATAAATATTCTAGGTTGAAGTGTTTATTTCAGCCTTTTGGGCATGATGTAAACAACTGAATGGGAAATCATGTTTTCGTTCTTATAAAGAGTCTCATTTGTAAATTCCATGCAGCCAATTTTCTGCAAATTAAGTCAACGGAGGGCTGAGTTGGTGGCACCATTGAAGAATCACTATTATCTCAAAAGGTGGGGCAGAGGAGTGGGCTGGCTTCAACTCTAGTAGAGACCCTCTGGTTACTTGAACCCAAAAGGATTGACCATCTACTCCCAGCACTCCATCCACTCATTGCCGGCTCTCAGGAGTCCCATATCCATGCTATAAGGGGTTTCTCAGGACCATCTGTACCCGTCTGTGAGTAACAAACTCCTGTACGACTTCAGGACAGCCATGTCCCCCAAATGGGCGATGCAGCCCTGGGTACTTAGGGGATCAATAGGGGGGAAGAGGCACAGTGACCTCTAAAAGCTGGAAGATCCCAGAGCTGGTTATGCCAGTTTTGTTAGGTAAAGGTGTGGCAACTACAGGATGAGAAGGCAGCTGCATGCAAATACTGAAAAACAAGTCAAGTAGACAGCCTAACGGCGTATCTGTGTCGCACTCTCTTGGTTGTAAGAACTCCAGTTAAGTGATGGGAAACTATGGTACTCTTAGTAGGTACGATCCTTTCCTGAACACAAAAGTATCACCTTACTACTGCCTCCCCAGCTCCTTGAAGCACCAACCACTGAAATCATTCAACTAGCTCTTCCTGCTCTGATTCCAAGTTTACTAAACCACTATAATTTATAATCTTACTTCTGATGATCGACTGCCTAAACAAAGAAATCATGGGTCAGGCCAAGCAGAATGTTGCAGTTCTGTGACCTATTCATTTCTCAAGCAATATCTTGGACAGGCTATCTTTAATTCTGTGATTCTAAAATTAAAAAAAAATAATTTTTAAGGTTTCTATTACTTTACATGTATACAAAATTAAGTGAAAAACGTTTTAATTCTCATAATGAGTTTTTATAAATTTCATGCAATTATTTTACAGATGAAGTCAGTGAAGAGGTAGGTAGGCTACTGTGTTTTAGATTAATACTGGCATCAAGATTTATACACTAGCCTATTATGATGAGGTGGCCGATATCGAATGTGCAAACTTGAGGCCCAAACACTCAATCACTAGGATCTCATCTAGACAATGATCCTAGGTGAGGTCCTGTTCATGCTTACCCTGGGTCGGGGGAGAGGGGACACCCTCAGAGACATCTATCTGTTATTTCTAACAGCCATGACTTATGTGCAGAGGGGGATAAATTTTTGTTTCATAAACTGAAAAAAATACGAACTGGATTTTTACTTTTCTTTCTCATTCTCATCTGAAATGAAACAAAAATTTTAAAATCAGAATAAATTCATGATTATACTCTGTTTTGAAAAGGGCACAATCAGTAAACTATGCTCGTAAGAATTTACCGAAAATATAAATCAAATGGAATCAGACAGATCAGAAATCCATGAGCACAGAAGAATCTGTAACTGCATATATGTGAAAGAAAATGATCACGAAAACAAAAAGAGGGATTATCATTTGTCTTGAGAAAATACACTTCAGTAACCAATAATGATCAATCTAGCATTTCAATGCCATTTAACATTTAAAGGAACAAGAATCACCAAATATTTGATGAAAAGTAACAGCATAAAAGAGAAGCACCGACCTAACCAAAGAAAGCCAACACCCTAGGAAATAAGAGTGATAAGTGGAGAAGAACGTCCTAAACAAATGCTGTATATCATTGGAGAGTTCTGAGATGAGGTATTATCTCTCTTTTCAAAAGAAAAAAGAAGTTACTGCTATTAAAAGTTACTCATTAGAATAAAAATACAATTGCCAAACAGGCATCTCAATTTTAATATATGGACAGAAAGTAAATCTTGATGGATAGAAACGCTATGAATAGGTCAATGGAAAAACTGAGTCAAGTGGTAATTGCAGAGAGCAGTGTTAAAAGGCAGAAAGAAAACCATTAGCAGAAAAAGTTGAGAAGGATGGACCAAGGAGCAGATCTTGCAAGCAAGAGTTAAAAAAGCAAAGAAGGAAGAGAAGAAAGTAACAACAAACCTACAATTACATGCAATTGCCTTTTACTGAAAAATAGATCTTATTCCTTAGAATGACAGGACTCCCTGAATGCAAAGCAGGGTAAATGAAATGAAGAGCAGGATCTAGCTGGTTACCGATAAGCTAATGAACTTCAAACAAAGAAAAAGCTTTGAAGGCCACCAGAAAGAAAACAAAGCAAAAGAGAAGAAATTACGGACAAAGAAACAAGTGAAACCAGTGCCCTAAAAACAACGTATTTGAGGGCAGTGCAAATACTCTGATAATTAGCCTCCTAAGACTCTTTGTTGGCACATGGAAATCCTGAAACCGTATCAAGGGCTTAGAAATGTACCACTCATGAAAGTTTTCCCAAAAAGTTACTTGAGGTTACCCTGTAGGTCTGTAAAAGAAAAAGAAATACAACAGAGGAACAAATTGGCTTCACAAAACAGTGGTGGGCAAGGATATCAGTATAATTTATAACCAATGCCAAGAAACTGCTGATAAAGGTCCAATGACACCTGCTGTTGCTAAGAAATAATTCCAAGTTAGTAGAGCCAGGATGATAACACAGGAAGAATGAAACCAAGGCAAAATCCAATTGGAACCAAAATACCAGATGATTTCAACAAAACACGGGAGGTAGGGGGTGAGCATGGAAAGTGCATTAAAGAGACAAAGGAAGTTCTTGATTTGAATGGAGATGTAGACTATAAAATCTAGCTAATTCTCAACTCAGATCTAAAAATATAAGCTTATTTAAAAAATAAAGGCAGCAGCAAATATGGCTACTAGTTAGGGTATAATAAAGGTGGCATCTTATATTACTGGGAAAAGACAGATACTTTCATAAATGTTGTTGGGAGGGCTGGACAGGCATTTTGAAAAAGATAAATAGGATACCCTACATTACACAACACACCAGACAAGATTCCAAATGCACCAGAAAAGTAAATTTTTCGAAAGGAAACCACACAAGTACTATAGGAAACCAAGAGTGAAATCTCACAATCTGGGCATGACCCCAAATCAGATGTGATGATAGAAAAGACTGATAACGTTAGCTACGTAAACATTTTTGATTGGCAAAAATACGAAGTTCGCTCACAAGGCAAGCACCCTATAAACCACAGACAAAAGATGAATATTCCTAATCTGTAAGGAACTCTTAAACTGAGGAGAACACCAAAAACACACCAGAAAACGGGCAGAACATGTGAAAAGACAGTTGGCAACCACAAGAAAACCACAAATGACTCAGGCACTGACTGACTTGGAGAAAAAGAGTGTAAATTACAACTACACAATGGTATTGTGATACCATTTCCCAGCTATCAGACTAACAAAAATTCAGAAGTCAGATAACTGTTCTGTTGGACTTGTGTGGGTAAAATAGGCATTTTTTTTTTCATTGCTGATGAGAAGGCCAAGTGATGCAACCCAATCTGGAGATGAATCTGGCAATTTCTAACAAAAATATACAAACATTTATTCTTTGACCTAGCAATTCTATCTCTAGAAAATCAGCCAAAAGGCACAACTCCAGTAAAATGGAAAGCAACGTGAACGCCCATTGATTCAATACTGGTTGACTACACTGTGGTATGTTCACAGACTGGAACAGAATGCCATCATGGAAAAAAAGATGAGAGGGTTCTAAATATTGTCAAGGAATAGTTACAAAGATACATTAATTGAAAATAGTTGGAATCAGAATGTATGATTGGAACGTCTGTTAATTAACGGCTTATCAGCTCATTTCTTTTTAGCATCGAATAATATTCCATTGTCTGAACATGCCACAATTTATTTATCCATTCCCCTCCTGAAGGACATCTTGGTTACTCCCACGTTTTTGCAGTTATGAACAGAGCTGCTACAAACATCCGTGGGCAGGTTTTTGTGTGGCCATAACTCCTTTGCGTAAATAGCAAGGAGTGTGATTGCTGGATCCTACAGTAAGAAGCAGTTTAGTTTTGTAAGAAACTGCTAAACCGTCTTCCAAAGTGACCGTACCGTTTTGCATTCCCATCAGCAATGAACAGAGAGTTCCAGATACTCCACATCCTCATCAGCATTTGGTGGTGTCAGTGTTTTGGATTTTCGGCAGAGTGATACCTTATTGTTTTACTTTGCATTTCCCTGATGACACGGGATGTGAAGTGTTTTTCTCATATGATTATCTGACATCTGTACATCTGGGTAAAGTGTCTGTTAAGGTTTCTGGACCATTTTTTTTAAAATTGGGTTGTTTTACTGTTATTTTAAGAGTTATTTGTATAGTTTGGATTATAACCCTTTATCAGATGTGTCTTCTGCAAATATTTCCTCCCAGTCTGTGGCTTGCTTTATCTCTTGATACTGTCTTTTGCAGAACAGAAGCTTTTAATTTTAATGAAGCCCAGCCTATCGATGATCTCTTTCATGGATCTTTGGTATTATGTCTAAAATGTCATAGCCATATTCAAGGTCATCTAGGATTATTTTCTGTTATCTACTAGGAGTTTTATAGTTTTTTAAAAGATTTTATTTATTTATTCATGAGAGAGAGAGAGAAGCAGAGACACAGGCAGAGGGAGAAGCAGCCTCCACGCAGGGAGCCTGACGTGGGACTTGATCCTGGGTCTCCAGGATCATGCCCTGAGCTG